GCAGTCACCATAATGACCTACCCTCTCTAGAACCACCATTCACCACTGTAACCCCATCGCGGTACTCACCTTGTGTTAGTATTCTGTAGTAATGATCTTGCGCAATACAAACAAACTGACAATCATCTATGGTGGTCCTCATGACGCCCACATGGAACTGTGTTTCCAAGGTTGGCTTCACGCCAAAGCTGTCAAGAAATCGAGACGAGAAAAATGACTCAACATTAAGTTAAAGTTAAAGTCATCCGGACATTATGAAACTGTTTGTCAAAGCCAACATAAATTACAAGATACAAACAGAAACACAACAGAAAAATCCTTGTGAACCATCATCAGAGAATTTTTTAAAACAAAACCTATGATACTTTATTCATTTGTTGCACTTCAAAGATTTTTTGGTTAGATATGTAAAAGGCAGAATGCCTTTACAAAACATCAGAACACTGAAGTTAACTGTAGTCATCCATAAAAAAATCGAGAATGCAAGCCTTTCTACTGTTTCTTGTTCAGGTCCTTAATGACTGGTTACCTGTCTCCAAGATGAAGCTGTTCCACCGTGCCATCGGGTTTGGTCACTTCAACGTGGCCATTCAGAATGACAGACCAGGAATCCAGCTGAGACAAAACACAAAAATCTGAGCAAATCACAAAAAAGTGACAAGGTACTTACACAATAAACATGCAACAAAACGAATTGACTGGAACAGGGTTCGAACGGGTGACCTCCACAACACAGCTCCACAACTGAGCTATCCAACTGGTGGCTTCTCCCAATTTGACAAACCACAAATCAACAGTGGTGGTACAGTTTGAATGAATGTACACGAAAGAACTTGAATGAACGTAAAATGATTCCACATTTCGAAAACTACACGTGTTCCAACTGAATTTCGTCCCTCTCCACTCTAAATCCTGGGAGGTTTGTTTTCAAAGAAGCATTCCAGATTGATGGCCACAATCCATCAACTTGTGGCAAACCACTGGCACACTTTCTCCACTGCAACCACAACCCCCTAACCTATCCTACATCCACAGATACAGACAGGGCAGCGGCTCACTACTTGAACCTAACCTCCTTTGCAGTGACTAACCTCACTTGGGCTGCCACAAATGATTTTTTTTTTTCACTCCAGGGACTCAAATATAATCCAAGTGTCAAAAAAATATGGGCCCACGAGTGCAAACCCAGGGACCGCTTAAACATGACTACCATAAAGTTGGGCATCATAACCTTGGAAAGTGCCCTCCAAATAAGCTTCTGTTTGTATCCTCCTAAGCCCCTACATTTCATATCCTCAATCTTAAGCCCAGCTCCAAAATGGACAGACAGGTACCGGTAGTCAGAATGGACAAGTGGCTGGAATCAGGACAGGGTCAAAGTGGAGAAAAGGCCACTTGGAGCAAATGCTCAGAATAGACAGGTGGCCACAATGGTAAGGCTGCCATACCGAATTGGTGGCTACAACAGAGGTGGCTAATATGGGGGTGGTACCGCAGAGCAAGGGGTAGACACAGTAAGCAGAGACCTGGAACTGTCGTAAGGTAATTGTTTGCACCAGCCTTAACGTTAACCGCATTGCAAGCCATGAAATACTTAGAAGTAAAATGTAGCATACAGTGCTGCGGCTTGCATGAGGATGTGACCTTTTTGCTCTCTGAAGCCATAAAATACGGTAGATGAGACAATGTACCATACAGTGCTCTGGCACTGGCGCCAGAAGTAGTAAATTGCAGCGCTAGGTCCTTCAGGCTCAGACCACTACTTAGTGTTTTGTAGTACTGAGTCCTATAGCTGAGGTGACTGGGGATTTGGGTTAAATAACAGCAACTCTTGTGAGTCAGTGACCACAACAGACAGTCCGCCAAACCAGCCCCATTACTGCAACTGGCTACTGGTCTCCCACGGCAAAAACGACCAAACACAGTGTGGCGTGTCCTTACCTCTTCCTCGTTCTTCATGACGATGGTCCCCGCCTTGGCCACCACAGCAAAGACCATGACAGCGCACAACGCCCGACGTACTGACATCGTCATATTGGCAAACGCCGGTAGGTGACGCATAAAATCCAACAAGATTTCTGCATCAGAGATTAAAGTAAAAAAACCTCCTTAATGATGGCTTGACTATACAAAAACTGATGACTATTCCACATAATATTTCATCCGTTAGACGTATTATAGCTACTAAATGAAGCTTACCTGTTTCTGTAATGATTGACTGTTTATGGGTCCAGTCTCAAAATATTTGCTCAACTTTTTCTTCCCCAGCTACTGACGGAACAGGTCTGACACATGTTCACCAAATCAAGATTGGAAACATCCCAACAAAATTTACACAACTCTACCCAAAACTTCTATCAAATGTCAAATACTCCATTGCTAGGCAAATCAATCTCAACTTTTTGAAAACAACTTTTAAAACAAAAGTACTGATTTAGATCTGAATTAGACAAAAAAGGAAAGAGGAAAACAACCAAACTACATTCCAGATAGATTAAATCATCTTCTAAATCTGTGTAGGGATAGAGATTGTGTTGGGACTCCAACAACACAGTTAATTAAGGAAAAAATGTATCCATTCTTAACTTGTTTCATACCAGTGAAGCAATCTGTCATTTCAAAAAGTAGACTCTGGACAGTGGCATCCTACAATAAGGTATTTATCAAGAAGATTTATTCATCAAGAAAGCCTGATCAAGATTAACAGAAAACTTTCATTCTTTCTGCCCATTGCCAGCATTACCTATGTCGTCTTCTGTTCTGTCCATGGGATCCTTCTCCAAGCAATCTCGGACAAAATCTCTAACGACAAGTGTCTGGATAAGTTGAAAACAAGAAATAAAACAAAGAACATATTCAGTGCTTCAGAGGAGCTAGAGTCCATTGAAATTAAAAGGCTTGAACAAAAAAAAACACCTTTTCACAACATTTCAGTTGTGAATTTAACACAATTGGACAAAAATTGTAAATATAACAGTCATTTATCCCCAACAAAGGCTCATACGCCAAGTTTTGGGAAACCTTCTGAGACTGACCCATTCTGAGTTTACCCAAACAGTAGCAATCATGCCTCCAGCTGCTCAACTCCATACTGTACTTCACGAATCGGCGAACCATTTGTTCAAGCAAGGTTTTTCCAGACACCGCATAAAGATGTTCCACTGAGTGACTGTAACACCAAGGTCAGGATATTGAAGAGGACTTGGGGATATACTAAATCCGTGATAAATAACAGATATCCGCTGTAAACTCAAACTATTCATCAAAACACTTGCCACTTTAAGAGCTTCCTGCCGGAAAAGATATAAGCCGAAGTCACCCCTGGAACATTAATGTCATGCAGCTGGTCATGTGGGCAAGCAGCGGGATGATGTCATCCCTAGCTACTGAGCCAACTCCCTATATTACCAGACCCAAACCCTGGCCAACCGACCGCCATCTCCAATTTCCACGTCGACAAAACCTCAACCCTTTACCTATTTTTCTCCAGCTTTCATTTCTTTTGGCAATACTTACCATTAGTTGCCGGCGGTCACAGGGCCAACTCCAGCGGGTCAGGATGTCGAGATCCATGGCAAAGCGAACGCAACACAAGATTCATCCACCAGGAACGAGACACTGCATGATCCGACAAGCAATAATCCGATACCTTAGAGTTCCCAGCGCAGATGGTCTCACAGTGCGCACTGCCGAGGTAGGCCAAGTGTAACACAACCCCCCTCCTTGTCACCACCTTGGTTAGAGGATGACTCGTCGCCCGTACGATGTCATCCTGAGTCCTGACAAGTGAATCCCCATCACTCCTACGCCAATTCTCACAGGAAACGCACAGTTCCTCTTGTAACTTCCGTGCTAATGCAAGACAGCGGATGCCCCCTAGGCACCCCATAGGTTACAGTCTCTCTTTCCCCCTTCCCCTACCAGGCTGGCCACTATCAGCGTGTGTGACAGTGATGACTGGGCAACAGTGATGATAAATGCCAAGTTGAAGGAGATTTATACCGCATTAAAGGTCGATCAAGGGTTTGTCCGTCACCCATTCATTTCACGCGTTCATTTACCCTGTACAACAGATCTCAGCTGCCTTTCACGCTTCAAGAACCCTCAATACTTTCTGTGATATTGTTGCAGAGCATTTTTTTAATGCGCCAAGCGTTCAGGAGTTCTCTACGTAACAACTTGCAGTCATTCTCGCACAGCTGCCATTTTTCAGGGACAAGCAGCTAGAAATGTAAAGTTAACACAACCAGAAAAGCACTTCTACTTCTAACAGCTTCAGTGGCATTTCAGACATCGCATCTGGGAGGCTGTAAGACTTACCGAGGCTGATTCACTGACGGTATCCTCGTCATCCGAGTCCACAGTACTCTCCACCAATCCCGTCAGATCAAGGTCTGGATTCTCATTGCTGCCGGCTTGGTAGAGATCTGAGAAGCTGCTAGACATGCTGCTGTGGAGAGAGCTGCGGTCGCTGTAGCTGGCCGAAGAGGCCATGACTTGAGGAAGATGATGCCCCAGGGGGGCCGTATCATCTATATCACTCAGGAGGGTTGGGATGTCCTCCATGGCTCTCTTGGAATGCTTCTGCAATTTGGCGGAAGATTTCCAAAAATTGATCATACATGTAACAGAAAGCCGGAATACCTTAACCCTCCCTGTTTACCATTCCGTACTAGTAAATGAATTTTTCAAATGATCCGAATTTTGAAATAATAAGAGAATTACAGTATCAAAGTCCAAATTCCAACCTGAGATGGGACTGTGCTCTGTGCAAGCCTCATACATGTTGCTTTACAAGTAAGCTTCTCAGACTCTCAGTATTTTTACGACACTGGACAACCTTGCAAATAACAGTGACACAATGCCACAGTTTGGAAAATTGTCCCCAAACCTCAGGCAGAGGATAAAAGGACTTCAAGCGTTTTCAAAGAGTGTCATACAAGTCTATATTCACTAAAAGCTGTACGCTGTTACTGTCTACTAACTGTCCATGCATGACTTAGGCTGTTACCATATTAACTGGCTGTAACTAGTGGTAACACACAAATCTATGGGAAGTGGCTTACAGCCGTTAGCCACTGCCTGCCATATGCCCTCGTGGTATTCCACCCAACAGCCGTAGCCATAATATTCGGACAAGGCTTATCTGAACCAATGCCACACGAGATAGATGTCGGTTCACGCGGTAATATTCAGTCTAGCAATGCATTCAGTTCAAACACTGATACGTATACAACAGGAAAAAACATCATTGCTGAATACTGAATTTAATCACCAAACCAACCCCCTCAGAGATTCAACATCTAAACTGAAGTCATTCCCACTACTCCTAAGTGGAACTTGTTGGACTCGGTAGAGTGAGAGCAAAACAAGCCACAAGCTTCGCGGTGCATCCGATCCACAGAATATCCCCTTTCACACTGTACATGTAACTACACCAATGTCACAATACTGGCAGGCACCTTCCTCATAGACACAACGTCATGCCAGCCTATTCATGCAGGAACATGAGATGAACTGTAGGAGGAAACGGTGCTAAATGTACATGTAGTGTACACGTATGCTACAAACACAAAAAAGTGACATATAGATGGTGTACATCATACATGTACATGTATGCATGTACGTGTCCACTTACATAAAATGAGTGGGCATGAAAATGGATGAAGCAGGTAAATGGATGATCTGCATCTGAGCCAACAGCAGGTTTAATAACACACCTTAAACACACAGACATGAAAAACCTTGTCTGTCTGATGTCCGACAGCTTCGGTCGATGCCCCCACCGTGCTAACTCCCACACAGAACTCTTTCAAACCTAACCAACATGTAGCTGATGTCCACTAAAAAGACACTGCTGTGCAGGCCGCAAAGCTACATAACAACACCACTCTCCGTGACATTACAACAGACACCAACCACGTCTTCCCAGCGAATGAAATCAGCGATTCGACCCTCCACTCTCTATAGCCACTTGTGTACTAAACAACAATACTACATGTAGAATGAAAAGCCCCAGCTCCCACACAGACGAAAGGGGATTAAGTGGCTACTCCATCACCCAACAGACTTGAGGCTAATCCCTTCCCGACTCAAAGCCCTTGTGACTTCCTATATACAGCAAACGATACACACTCTACTCGTGGTGTTGAGAAATCCTGCACTACAGCAAACGCAAATAATCCCCTGGCCGCTATATTTAGACCAGACAAGGGCACAAAACTCCACTTCGTATTTTTCACTCCCACACAGTTACGGCTTCGAGTGCTTTAATTCAAGCAACTGGCAAACATGTACAAGTCTTTTCATAAACAGTTTGCAGCCCACTCATGCATTCATGAATTCACCAAACTGACAGTCTTGCTGTTAGCTCAAGCCTCTCGTGCATGCAGTTTCAAAATTTCATGCTTTGAGCGATCAAGTTTGACATTTTCGCTCTTCCCTGTTAATCTGAGTTTGTCATTTAAGAATTTGGGCTCTCTAGGAACAAAGCAGTTCCACCTACTGGTGCATGCATTCAGCACAAGAAAAATGCTAGAACAGCGTTCACTTCATAAAGTTTAATTCATTCCATACAGATGCAAATTCATGCAAATTAAAGGCCTGGCTTGTCGTTCGAACCTTTTCACTGTCCAGTGACTGTGTCCGCTCCAGCCTGATCGATGGTAATGAAGTCTGCGGATACAATACGGAAGGAAAACACACAGACAACAAATGGAAAAAAAAAATGAAAGTGCGACAGAAAGTGAAAAAAACAGTAGCAGTCAACATTCATACAAAATCATGCTTTTCAAAATCAGCCATTCAACGGGACTTAGTGTCAGAAATCGTTCATGTACCTGAAGAAAATGTCCGCAAGACAAAAATTTAAACTCTGGCATCGTGGTGCAAAAGAACACTGTGCCCAAAACTGTATAATTATCCATGCACTTTTTGTGCCCCCAAAATGCCCGAAGTTGCTAAGATACGTATGTCAATTGCAAATGTACAAACACACTGTACCAGTACATGTGTACATATATACATGTACATAAAAATATCTGACTGCCGGTACAAAATCAGTGCGAAACAGAAAATAACTTTGCATGTTTGTCGCCATGCTTTCTGAGCAAAATTAGTCAGATATGAAATGCGTTTCCAAATTTGGGAATTTTCAGCACCGAAACACATTTGACAAGTACCTAACAAGCTCACTTTCAGATTCGCTTTCACAGTGAAATTATAAATTGGTCTCAAAAGCGGAAAAAGAAGAAAACTTTAAAAGCATCTGTCCCCAAAATCACCCAGCTGAGTGTACCTAGTAAAAGATTGAATATTGAGAGAGAGCAGCTTAACGTGTACATGTACATACATGTACCAAAATTAATTTGAGTACAGAAATTGACTAGAACAGGATCTGAATATTGGAGCCCAGAGCAGAAAAAAATAAACATTTGAAAGCATCTGTCCACAGAATCACCCAGCTGAGTGTACTAAGAAAAAGATTGAAGATAGAGACAGCAGCTTAAGGTGCGCATGTAGATACCAAATTTAGTTTGAGTACAGAAATCGACTGCAACAGGATCTGAAGATTGGAGCCCAGAGCACTGTAAAGATAATCCACCCACCATGGATTTGTCAGAGACTTCACTCACTTTGTGGTTTCCCGCAAATGACATTTCAGACGACCACCATCCATTTTTCCTGGATTAACCATGAGAAATGCCCCGAGCACAACCCCCCCTGCACATGTATGCAATAAGAGAGAGAACTTTTGGAGCCAAAAATTCTGTTCTTTCACCCTTCTCATAATTCAACCAAACAACTTCTCTATCAAGATAAAACAATGAATCCAAATTCAATCAGAGCTCAACTTTCAGCAAGCTCAAATCTTTCCCTCTAAACACCATTGCATATCATGTACATGTAATCCAAATGTCTTACAATCAGGTAAAAGTTGAAGTTCTAAGTCACATGAGAAACATATTTTTTTCTGAGAAAATGGAAATATAATACAAGCATTATATTGCTCAGGTTAAAAACTTAGCCACTATACAGTCTCAGGTTTCAAGGTTTCTTTGAAATCTTCTAGCTTTCAAGAAGAGGTCATCGATGCATTTTGAAGCATGCTGCGTATCCACTCAAGCCAACCGCATGGCTGACCCAAAAAAAATGCAAAATTAAAAATAAACAGAAAACAGCTGGTTAGCAAATCAACTTGTCAGCAAAAATCCCGCTGGGCAAAGTCTTCCCAGAACAGCTAAGAAGAGGACAATGCTTATGAAGTTAGTGTGCTAAAGTGAAGATCGGAGAAGAAAAATACTTTGTAGCAATCCACAGGGAACACATGGATGTAATCAATCCCATTCCATGCTAGTTGAATCCACCTGGCAAAACTTCACAAGCACACCTGTACCACTCACCGTATTGCCTTCGCTGCTGAAGGACGCTGAGCGGTCCTCGCTGTATGAGCGCCCTCGTGGGGCAGGTACCTGGACCTCTTCCTGTTCCAAAGCCATGAGGCGCTCCAGGTTGGTTGGGGTGTAGGACTGACGTTGGCCGGGCTTCATCAAGTGGGCGTCCGGGTAGTCAATCTAGGAAAAAAAACAAGGGGGGAGAGAAAGGGGACAGAGAGAGAAAAAAAGAGATCATGACAAGTTACACACAGTAAATGGAAGACAGAAATGAAGTGGAAGAAACCATGGGGTGAATGAGGCCCACCTCCTCAACCCCAGTGACCCCACCCACTCACTCTTTGATTGAATGCACATCCATCCACTTTCTGCACACCAACTGAGGGCACTCATGTACCGGTACATTGTACACGTAAATCAAAAAACAAAGTTCTCTGGATAATAAGTGACACTGACCATGAGTGGCTGAGCTCTAATTCAGAAAAAATACTACGTACATGTATCTGACATTTTGGGTGAGAACAGAGTTAGAATATTTCGATAAAAATGGAGATGAGATGGTTTACAATCACTGCAAAGTACAAATACACTCACAATACATCCTTCCTACTGGAAGTTTAGAGATTCATATATCCCCCCCCCCGGTACATGTAGAGAATGTATCTACATGAGACAAACTGGGAAGATCTGAACTTAATTTTTCTGAAAATCCAGAATAAACCCCCAAAAATTACTTAACGAAATAGCACGGCTGTGTACCTGTGTACCATGTTGACAAGCGCGAAAGCAAGCAATACATACACAAGTACAAGATCGAAGGTTGAAAGTTTAAATGGCATTCTCACAAGGACTCAAATTGCAATTACGATTGTCAATCTAACCAAAATTATTTAAACAGACTATTTGTGAATATTACAGAAACAAAAGCGTCTAGCACCTCACCTCGTCCGCATTTCAATCAAATACTGTACAACATTAGTTGGGGGTCAACAAAAACAGGTAAAATAGAAGAAATCACACACAAAAATGATACAACAAATGCGTAGCCTCGTATCTTTTTCTAACCTACCGGGTACCGGTACAGGTACGGTGCACTGTGAGGGTTAAGCAAGTTCAGCCAATAAATAATTCTTGTAACACGACCAGGATTCTTTACACCATAATCAAATTAGTTCCCACAGCAACCGGTGTGCTAGAAAAGTCCGGCAAGGCTCCAACAGAGCAGGACATCAGATAGGGGAGGGGTCAAATTCCTGGTCCCCGGGGGTGTGGGAGAAATGTCAGCAAATTTAAAATACATTGATAGAGTGAAACAAACCGTGCAATCCCAAAATCACGCAAAAGCCTTCAAGTTCTTTTGAACTTGAAGTGTACGGTGTAGGCCCTACATGTAAATGTACATACTGCTTGTTTATTTAAAGGTTTCTCAAGTTCTGTTTTGTACCCTCACTCTAGATTGTAAACAAGTGAAACCAATCAAGGTGTTTTTACTAATTTGTCCTAGAAATTTCTTCAGTGGTAATCCCAACCTGAGCAATTTTGACCTCGTCTCAGAAGGAGTTGTTGGAATGGAGTGACTTCGGACACCCTGAGATTCTGATAAAAACGGCAAAGGCGTAAAATCCCAAGCAGCTTTCAAACCACCAGATGCTTACACAAAATATATTTTGAATGAATTTGAGGTGAAATCAAAAAAATAAACAAAAGGTAATTTTTCTGCCAACTTTCGGCTGCCCATTGAGTAAATTGAGAGTGGTCTATACATGTACAGACTTGCTTTTCTAGAAAATATACATGTAACTACCGCTTTGAGTATAATCATAATGTATATTTCTTCTTGTTGACTTTTTGTGAGCCCGTGCTGCAAACACATTTCAAACAGAAAGCACTGCTCTTTCCAATCGCTACGTACAAAACCAAATTAGATTAGCAATCTTAGAGAGAACTGGTTTGGGCTGCATTAGGGAGTTGAAAGTCCAGTGAGACGAGGCAGGAGGGAGAGGAATTTATAATCCTTGGACACCTGTGGGAAGCCAAGAATTTAATACCCCGCAGAGCTCACCTTTGTGAGAAGTAGAATTTTAGTCTGAACTGTTGTTTGCTGTTGTTGTTTTTTTAGTTTTTGTATTTGATTTTCCTTCTTTTGGTTTTGTTTTGGAATGGTTTATTTGGGAGTTTTTTCTTTTAAGGCCAAACTGTTTAGTTGACTCTAAAGACAAACGGCATTTAAGCCACAAGTTACACTGTACTCACAGATCAAATTTTACAGCATGACAACAGTAGAATGGACCTACAAGACGCTGGACACATTGGTGCCAGAGTGCCATTTCCTTCTTTGTGGCAAAAAACAACCAATATGAACTAATAAGGCCCACTTCCATTGTCAATGCCCTTGTTAAAGATTAATCGCAGAGCAAATGGACAGTGACAACCAGGCATGCGCGAGTGACAAAGGGCTCGGAAGTGCCAGTGGAAATGGAAGAGTAGAATGCTTCTCAGATCTGAGACATTTTCCTCCGAACATTTGTACAGCATCATACATGTATGTAAACAATGCTTAGGATGCCTGTTTTCAAACAAAGAACATTGAAACAGATATTCCATATTTATTCCAAAGATGAGACTCGGGCTTCCTAAACCAGCCAACAGGTTGTCTAACAGCCACTAAAGGTTTTTACACACTACTGTCTCACTTCCCAGTGTCGAAATCAATACAGTTTTGTCCGACGGGCTGGGGTCAGATCAAATACAACTCAGCGAGGCACACCATCCACATTTTTTTTGTCTGTGTGTGTGATGGCTTTATTTTTGTGAACACAATTTTGTTATGCCCTGCCATTTTTTCCCTAGAATGCCCTAACTTTTCTGTTGGTGAATATATCAGAGTCACAGCCTCCTTGCCCTGTTTGAAATTTGCTTCTTTGGTTTCGATATAACATAGATGTACCACACAATCTTTTTTTTAAATGTTTCCACAAATTATCTTGTGTTATTCAGAAGACTCAATTCCAAGTTACGGTACTTATAGGGTAAAAGTTATTTTTTTAATGGACTGACCAACGAGGCCTCTTGAAACTTTAAATAATCAGACCGATCCTTGTTAATAGAATGACTTTTTTTTTTCCAAAAAGCAAACCCAGATGCAAAATTACTTTAGCTTTAACACAGGCATTAAATGTAAAAAAAACAACAGGTCACAGAAAATCCCACTGAGACTTCACTTAGAGCAATCCTTGATAGAATAATTGGAAAAAAATATTCAAAAGCAGATGTAGATGGAAGTATCTATTGCTAGTATTGAATGGCAAACACAGCTCCCGGGTAGAAACCTGTTCATGTAAGTGATTGGGTCTGGATAGAGACACCGCAGTTGACGTCAAAAGTTGTGACGTGGAAACATGTATAGATTTCTAAGGCAGCGGTAAAACGGAGAGAGCAAGGCACGTGCGTATGAAATGCACATGGGGGCGTTGATCTTTAACAGCACATCGTAGGTGTACCTTTATTGCTGCAGGATTTGGAAGTACATTCATACAGAATGAATGTTTAACTTCACCTGATAATATGCTTTTACTGTGGGGATTGATACATGTCTGAATGCACAACAGGAAAGAATGCACATGAGCGTCACATCAAGCTCACATGTCCCCTTTCTCCTAGCAACGAACAAACTCTGCAGTCGATGTATCCATGCAAATGTACATCTCCATGGAATCACACGAATCTCGTCATTTACACACAGAACCGGTATATTGTAACCACTGCATGTACACATAAAGGACTGATATTATGGAACACAAAAATACATGTCCAAGAACCAATTAAACTTGTCAGGCATGTGTGCACTATGAGTCACCTTCCCTTGAACCATGTCCGTAAGACAACAAATGAAATTTTCACAAAAGTCAGCAACAAAACCCATTGCATCTGTCGAAAAGAACATTTGAAGAACAAAAAGGAACATGTACCCTACATGTACCAGTGTTGTGCATGTACCTCCGGTCATGCAGGTATGTAGACAAGGACACATTTAAGTAGTCAGAAACAAAGCTAATCTTATACGTATTTTCTCACCTTCTCTGTGACGTGAGGACTGTCCCCTTCGGAGGTGGGGAGACGACAGGATGGGGGAGGGTTTCTACGTAAAGGTACACATCAGTGTTTAAATCCCAAGAAATTTGGCACATCCCTCTTTTTTTTCCCAGCTTCACTGAGCCCTGCAGAGGCAGCACGCGTCATTCTTCAAACTGTTCCCGCAAAATATATGAACTTTTTGAAAGCCTAAACGGTACAACATGCGGTACACGTACATGTAAAGCCAGTCATATATGCACCAACATGTTTGACCTCGAAAACACTGACAGGGTCAATAGAGACGTAAATTGAACGTGTCTATGACCTCCTAAAACAAACTACGACATACACATGCATGTGTATTCATCCCCTATATAATACACACCTGGTTTAATACCGTGCAAAGATGCTGGTCAGTCCATTTCTGTGTTGTGGCAGCCCAGAAACTGGTACGTACATGTACATGTAGGTCGGCATTGAAAATATGAACGGCTAATGTGCACATTTATGCAGAATTTGTTTATTAAATAATTCAGGAAATAATTACATGTCCAACTGCCCTGAGTAAGCATGCAATCCTTCCCCCAAAACCAATGAAAACAGCATACTGGTACGCCAATCTTTCTTGTGAAAACACGGCATTTGTATGAACATGTACATTGTATATTCATATACATGTACAGACTGCCAGTGGGCATTTCCAGAAACTAAAAAATTCCAAGCTACGCAAGAATACAAAAGTAAAGAACATGTCAATTTGAATGGAGCACTTTGTGCCAGAGAAACAGGGAAATTCATACATGTGAGAATATCATATGGACATAATCTGAAAACCTACAAGTGTACCGTAGAAGACATGATACTGTAGAAAGTTGCAAAGTTTACACTAGAGGGAATGTTTGTGCCTGCCAACTTTGCCAATTCGGGAGTTTTCAAAATAGAATTTAGTGATTCAAGGGAAAAACATTTCTGGCACATTTCAAATAACTGAAAAATTTTCATCTACATGTACGCTGAAGATGATGCCCAGAAAAACCATGTACATGTACTTTGTACCTAAGCTTTCCTTTAATTTAAACCGAGACAACTACCATAAGACGACAGTTATTATCAACATATACACACAATATGGAATACCTGTACTCAGATGCCACCGAGGCATATTGATAAAAAACACAACTAGCAACACTCTAAACACTGATACTTTAAGTGTAATAAACTCTGGCAGATTTATTACCATAAGCCCATGCTTTTAGAAAGCGGTGGTTGTTATTTTGCCTGGGCACTCCATACCCAAATGACATTTTAGTATAAATAAATCCTACATGGTGGTTTTAACATTCTAAAATGCTACTCACGTGTTGGAGCACCCAAATCACAAGTGATAACCCAAAAGGGAATCACACGTACTCCGGCTCACTTGGCAAGGATTGAGTAAGACGGGGAGCTTTTCTCCCTGTCGTGGAGAGGAGGGTGTGCGTGACGTAAACAAGCAAGCGCCCATAATAGAGACACTGTAAGACGGCAGCACCGTTCATCGTGCAGGATCCAAACTCCCGTTACACAATCAATCTAAGTGCCACTAAAAGCGAGTGTTCTGTGTGCGGCGTCTGTTACCCAAGTCACCGCGTGCCAAAATCAATGGGATTTTGAACCCTCAAAACCACTCCAGTCCAAGACTACGCGGCTCCCACACCGGTTGGGTTGCAATGGAGGTGAAGATATGGTAACTTACAGTCCCCAGGACACGGTGTCCTTTCTTTACACATGTACCACACATGTACCTCTGCATCTGTCAATTCTACACCCAATTAGTTGGACTCCACATCTCAGCTTAGAAAATCCAAAAAAAATTAGCCTTCTATTCTTGAATCATGTTCCAGTTGCTCCTAAACATCTGGTTTTACAGTTCAGGGGAACGCATTTCAAAAAGGGAGGGGGGAAGATGCAAAGGTTTTATGAACGTTTATTTCAAAATGACACTGGATCATGAGGAGATTGGCTAAGAAACCAAGGCACGAGCGAGAAAATAAGCCGACAGATCTGCATGCCAAGAAAGAGAGATCATCAAACGCTTGTAAGCATTGTGAAAAAACTCTGTCATGCCAACAGTTTCTGAACAACTCAACTGTATTATTTCTTGTCTGTGTCAGGCACAGAACTTTACTTCCTTATGAGAACAACACTTGTTGAGTGATATCCAATCATCAGTGGTTCAGTTCTTAATACACTCAGCATCTTGGCTTCTATTCTTGGATTCTATCTTTCGACGGCTACCCAGAATATGCCCTTCTCAACAACTACCAAACTGAAAAACAAATCTGAGCATTTCATATCTGATGCAAGATCTTCCTCATTAATACCTTGGAAGTCAGATCTCGAGGAAAAACACACCTTGCCCTGTACTTCACAAACACGTGGGAAGAGGAGAAATGCGTCAACACGACAGGGAATTCATTCTGTGGTGGCTGCCGGGGCGCGCCGGGCAAATCTATTTATTGCTGATGTCAATCAATGACCTTTTCCTGTGGAATTCTTGTTTGTCTAAAGATATCCTCAGGAGCGAGGAGACAGATAAAAAAAAATGCAGCTACAAAACACATCTGGAGGGTTTCTCTACCTCTGGGTACTTGAAAAACACCCCAATGGAAATTGATACTGGGTTAATTTGTGTGGGGGGGAGGTTTCAATTACATCTCTCTCTCTTACATGGAAACCTACATGTAAATGTTCTGAATGGAAAGCAAGATGATTACAAAATTCTGATTTAAGAGACTTTTATTTCTATCCTAAGCTCTGGAAAAGGTTAATGTATACTATGGTAATGACTAGAAACTGCACGGAAAAAAATACCAAAAGCCAAGATGTAATTGAAACAAGGTAATGAAGAAAATTTCTTCAAAATGTTATTTTGAAGACACCCAAGTGATCTCAAACAAAATTGAAAGTCGGGCCAACTCCATTAAAGTTTGGATGTACACTGTAATTCACATGCCCCCACAAGTTTACTACCATTTTTGGATCAGAGAGATTCTTTCCCTTTCAAGTACAACTAATTTGCCTCAAAGCAGGAACGCATACATGTACTGTCAGCAACCATGCCCTTGCCAAGTGGAACAGGACTTGCTTCAATCTGGCAGGACTGCATTGTCCATCTCCGGCAGTAGTCCACAATAAGGTGAATTCACCCAATGAACTCCAGTCCTGGGTCTTCATTGAGCGAACCAATGAGGAAGTTACATGTAGCTTCATTCTATATTTATCGACAGTGATTCCATAACCAACTCCTGACTTTTGTTCTTGGCCAAGGGGAGCCCATTCAACAGAAATTTATGGACTAGATGGACTAAATCTTTTGGATTTTGATCAAGCAACTTTGTAATGTTAGTCTCCAACCCGTTCAACAATCAACACCATTCATCTGTCCATTTACTACACGTAAAGGAAATGTGCGTACTGTACGTTTCTTGTGAAAATTTCAAAATGCAATGCCATTCAGATCTCTCCGATAGTTGTATGCCTCCAGGCCAGGTTCCCATGCCAACCTACCCACAAGGGACAGACTAGTGCTTTGCTTTGCAAGGCCAACTAGAATCGGCATTTAATGAAGTTCCTCTGCAGCCGAAAGAATAATTGACCAGTTTCTTGTCCCAATCGGGGTTCCTTTTTCCAGACCTGCCTCTTTTTTTCCCTTTTAACTCCTTTTTTGGTTGAATTTCCAACATACATGTATTTTTACTGTTTCCTGAGTTTTAGTCAAATATGTGACAAAGTAGAATTTGTAGACCCGTCTCCGTCTTCTGAAGGTACTGGAGTATTCAACCATTTTATGTTTTGCAATTTAACCCCCAGAGGTTGATTCTCTTCCCATTTTTCAGAAAAAAAAATCATTTCATATAAAATATTTTGTTTCTTAGAGAGCGCAGAAAACATAGATCCCTCTCATTTGGACGTCATCTTTGTAGGAATATTGACACTGCTTCTACAACACCATCCGGTGCATGCTCGCACGGTGTGCAAAATATTCTTAAAGTTCTCACAAGCATGCTGATCCAAATATGCTCGAAATACGGTGCAGCCGATGCACATCACGAAAATTGACGTACAAAATGCCGAAGCACGTGGCAATCTGAAGGAAGTGGTGTCACTTGAGAGAGAGACCTGTACTGAATATGATAGCAATGTGCACTGTCTTTGCATCTCTCATTGGTTCGTACATGTATGTCACAACGATGCATTCTGGCATCATTACTGAACTTGTCACCAACATGTTAAGAGTTGACTGGAGAAATGCAGCGTGACCAACTCTTTGATTGAAAGAAGTCCTACAAATGAAGGTTTCCATTATTTTAAACAGTTAGCCCAGGTGGTGCACTAACCAACAACCTTTAACAGTGCAGCCACTGAGCTTAACAGGGTCAGCTGATTAAGTCAGTTCAAATTAACAGTGGCTATAATTTCTTAAGACACGAAACAGCAGTTCATAGTGTCTTCAACTCACACCACTCAAAAATCAGTTGGTTTTAACAGTTCAAATTTATGTCAATCTTGCCCTAAAACTACCTTTTCAGATTTGAGTCACTAGACAATAAAAAACAAGGCAAAATAACAACCTCTCAAAAACATCTTTTTGTCACGAAGATTTGCAGCGTACCATTTTTTTAAAAAAAGACGTTTACTCACCACAAGTAATTCGGAGGCCTCCAAGATGAGACAGTCAGCACCCCTTCGCCCACTGCCCAACGTCCGCTTGCCAAAGCTACAGGCAAAAGGGATGAAGAAAAACCAGGGTCAAGGTGGCCCTTTTGTGTCGCTGCTTATCCCGTCAGCGTATTACTGTTGCGACGGAAGCGGCAACAGAAATGGCAACGGGGGAGAGAGGGGTTGGAGACAAACACTCGGGGCGTGTGTGCGTACAGACACCCCGAAACAAACAAGCGTGGTGAGGTGCTGAAGCATGTATGATCAGTCCGACACGATCTCATCAGAGATGGAGGAAAAAAACGGCACAACACGCCAGCATATTTCCACTCAACACGGAGGCTCTTGATGGCACGGCAATCTGTAACTCCAGTTCATGGAGAAACTGCTTTTCCAGAAAATGCCTTGTTCACATAGACACTGCGGCATATGCCAACGAACATGGAGATGCACTGGCACAAAAAGAAACACTTAAAAGGCGCATACTTCTAGTGTTTACACAACCGAGGTTAAAAGAACATAAATACCGAGTGCGCCGGGTAGCTTGTGTATGCGAGTGAAATGGCAGGTTGTAATTGCTTCAGTACACATATGATATATGTGTGGACATCCATGCCAACAGAGTGGTAACTATAGGACTACAGACAGTTGTGCATGTTTAGATTATTTGCCTCAGATTTCAAATGCTGTCGTTCAGGCCCTGCTGTTAACAGGTGCTTCAATAAAGTGGACTTCAAAACACCTGTAAATAAATCTGTTTTGATAAAGGTAAATTAACATAGTACTAATGTATGCAAAAATGTTTCGTGTCACATGTCATGTGTCACGTGTCACTTAACAAAGACATTTTTGTGTCCTTGCTGCAAGCTTCAAATGTGCGACATTTGAAAAGAAATTTTGTACACTACAAAAAAATTCTGGTGTAAGAAAAAAAGGTATCCAACATAATCTGTTCAGAAATTGAGTTTTTGCTGGTTCATTGTTTCAAAGTGTACATGTACATGTAAGCTCTCAAAACAAGGAAGTTTACAGGTTAATTTTACATTGCTCCATATGTAGACATCAAAACCCCTTCTGAATCACAAAGTACCATAATATAACGCTGACGAGTGACTGGTCCTACTTTGAAGATTATTCTCTTGATTGGGTAAGCACTTGTCAGTAAATAACATGACTCATACTCAAAACATGGCATGGGCATGAAAGTGAAATTCATTGAATAGCCCCAAAACAAGCTTGTTTAGTCAGTGGCTATGCATTTAATGTACCTTTTGACTACAGAGGGCAGCACATCAGGCGGCAATGGCACCTGAGATTTGTTTCTTGGGAGAAAGAAAAAAGATTCACGTTTGAAACTCGATCTTACCTGCTCCGTGGGAGGAACATGGCCTGGTCGATGAAGACAGAGCCCGACAGGAGGATGTACCAACAAGAACTACGATCATCTCGACTGCAGACAGGTGATTAAAAGATGACCAAACGTTAGTCGCGAAACAAGCACGCTGACCCGCTCAAATTGATTTGGATGTGTCGGTGTGCAAACTTTATCACTTAAGAGGCAATTATGGGTTTCTGTTCTGGATTTGTGCTAGGTATGGAATGACAGGAGAGTTAGACACAACTACACAGGCTCTGACTCTCAGAGAAAGTATTTACTAGAATTCAATAATAACTCTTATTACCATTTCTAGAAGGGCTGTTGACAATTTCTCAGTCACAATTCCTATTTCAAGTAAAAAAACACCCAAGGCATGCCTTTTCGCTCATGAAGTGTCTGGACATCGATTGGCCATCCTGGCAATTCTGGACACCCTGTTATACGTACGTATATGTACGTCTTCTATAAAAGTAGATTCAGATATATCCACTTTTCAAGTGGTCAATAAGGTGACCGTGGTGCTGCACACAACCATACCACACATGTACATGTAAGTGATATTGTCACATCACCAATAGTCCACATGCATGGTACAATGTACATGTACACTTCTTCTGGGAAAAAAAATTTCCGTGCTTCATTACAAACACCGGTTCGGTAGTGTACACTTGTACCAGTAAATCTACCATGCACTGGAGGTCAAATGGATAAATGTAATTTAATTGGCAGCCAACCCTACCCTGCATGTACATGCCGGCTACATGTCTGCAAGATACAGTGTGTATGGAGTCACTGTGTACATCTGTTCAGAAATTCCCCTCAACGGGTTTTATCATCCATTCAGTACGCTAAGCAATGTGTTCCTGCTTAGGGCCTTTTCTCAATTGGGCCTGAGGACAGCGCCAGTAACCAAACAAAGTGACTCTTGCCCCTTCAGGCTGTGACAGCTGATAAGTGATATTTCAAATCCCCCACTGATAAATGATTGTATGAACAGCTGAGAGGAGACAAGCAACAGTGAGTCACAGCTTGGCCACTTGTCCAAATAAAAAAACCAAGAAACGGGTCAAAGTGTTCGTCACAGTCTGTTGAACACAACAGTATCAAACACAACTTGAGTGGGAGAACCCATACCCTGAACAATGAATCCACACATGATTAAACCACGTTCTTTACAGTAATTGCTAATTGTAACAATTCAAAAATACTCTTCTTTTTCCCTCTATTATGTTCGTTGACTTCCACGTCAACTTTCAATTCACTGTTTACGGGATATTTGGTATGTAAGCAATGACAATGTACAGATTGAAACTCTCTTAAAAAGTGCCCCAGAGAAATATACAAAAGCTCAATACGTCTGCAATAAAGTCAATTTTCAAGCAATGTCAGAAAGGACTTTTTTTATTACAACACGAGGGATTTCAATGCATAAGTACAATGTACATGTACATCCACAGTTTGTCAAATCTGCTTGCTTCGAGAATTATGAAGATTTTGGGATGGAACAGAGTGTGGTGGGAGAACTTCAACATTCCAGACATCGACACGTCTCAGAACCTTGCTGCAATTCAGAGAAACTGCAAGCCAGAAAGAATTATGCTACATCCTGTAACGCTGCTTCCTCAACTGGGAACTTGGGCAGGATATGCTTTACACAGACAACAGTACAACATTTCAACATGGTTTGGCCATTACCACATCCAGGGTCGGGAAAGCTGCATGTACATTTGGAGCAACACTGCTGCAATAGCTCGTACAAAATTGCAGCAATAATAAATGTACTTGGCACAATGTTTATTGCTGTATTAAGCACAATATTTCTGCTTTAACCCTCCTTTACTGTTCGACAATTCCTTCCACTTCTCCTACAAATGTCAATTGACTGATTTTGACTGATAGGACAACTGTGTTGAGAATGCATCTCTGCGTACATGTACATGTGCATTATCTGCACAATATTTGTTACATTTCTGTTTCAGTTATGTGGCTAACACATGTATCACGTTCACATTCAGTGGTGATAGACACCAGAAACTGGCTCAGGAATTGTTTTCAGATGCCCTTACTAACCAGTATAAGATGTCGTTGGCCTCCCGCTTGATGTACTGGACATTTTTGGCGATTTCTCGCAAGGCTGGCTCACGGAGACACCTTAAGGCTTCCAAGGTATGTAGGAAGGAAATAATGTAATCCAGATCCTACAGGACAGAAGTAAATGAAAAAACGTAATTATTGATGCAATTATTAGTATAGGTTGGACACATGAACGTACACATGTACATGTACGTGACTGTAGATGTTATTCATGCTATTTTTCTGTTTTGTCAGCTTTTTTATCATTAAAAGCAACTGAACCTGTCTTATACAGCCACACTTTAGAAAGTAACACTTCAGATGTTGAATCAAAACCTGAGACAGTGACTACAATCAATGCAAAAACCCATAATTCAATTCAAAATATTGGAATAACATGCATGCGTGTGTACATATCACAAGGACGTGTCTAAATGTTATTTCTTTCCATTATGTGAATTAAGGCCTACGCTCAGCAGTAACAGAAACTTTGTGTGGAAGCAAACTGCACGTACATGTACATTGATCTCACATTGGTAATGCATACTCAGACTGATTACCCTGACATACATGTACGCAATGCTAAACAGCTTGCAGGGACAAACCCTTCAGTCATTATCTACCAGCCTGCGGCACAGCTCTTGCAGGGAATGAATCACAGGCAATATTACAGAAACATGTACAAAAGCATGGAAACTAGAAATGACTGCTGCTGGCTGTTTCATCTACGCACATCCATACATGTCCATACTGCTCAAAGGTAATCTCACACCATAGTGGTTATGCTGGAAATGATTTCAGCTAGATGGATCCTATGTGTGTATTGCCGCTGAAGTCACTTTTACAAAACCAACACAAATTACATGTACATGTATACATCAATTCCAGTCCACAGGTATGAACATTACATGTACATGTACAGTCAGTGTGTGCACATGTATGTGTATATTGTCCTAACATAGAAGGTACCCGTAGTAATGTTGACGTGCTGTAAGCAGCCATGTTTAGATACATGACATGTATGTTTATTTATGTAGCCATAAGGGCTGCATCTATAGCCAAAAGCACTATGACCTGCATTATACGTACAGAACATTATGCTCACACCACTGTGTGTACGTAAGGCAGCCAAGGTTATTAGTCATACATGAATTATTCTACTCATCAGTTTCGGCAGCATGCAAGTTCAAATAGTGCAATATCCCTCTCAAAGTTCAAATATAACACAAGCAGGCTTGAGGGTGCAAGTAATTAAACCTATCACACTCCCACAGCACTGCAAATTGACAGCTTTCTTTCACTTTGGCCTCCCCTGTGTTAAACGGTATCCATGTTCAGAGTGTCCCAGTAGAAATGAATTTCAAAACCCGGGTTTGTTCATTCCCATTAGGTCAAGGACACCAGCTCCTCTGACAGCTGGCCTAAGGGTATGTAGGAAAGCCAGAGACCTCACAGCCCATCAGACAAAATCTGCATGATATGAAGGCACAATATCCCCCTGTTGACAAGATGTTCAACCCCCACCTTGCCAGTGACCCCAAGTCAGCAAAATGAGTGTCAACAAATTTGGACAGTGAATCACCATTGTTTTTTTTTAAAGATTCGACAGGCGAATTTTACCCAGGAACATGTGCACATGCCTCAATTCTCAGCAAAATACAATTGAGAAACACATAAATAATTTTGCAAAGGAGCAATTTTGGACAGCTTGTCTTATTTTTAATACATGTTTTTTTTTATTTTTAGGCTGTCACCGCTACAGTCTAGCAACTGCACCACTTTTGGAAATTTGATTGTTTGAAGATCACACAGCAATTAGTCCAATTAGCAACACTGGGAGCAAACAATGCTGCTTGCATTAAAGTACTGCCATTTGACATACGGGTCATTCCATGAGGTTGGGGCACAATTTGTGATGTCCAAAACTTTTACCACCTGTCATGACCGGTACAGTAGGTCATTTACTCTGTAAAAATATCACACACCTCTGTATTCAGCCTTGCAAGATGTGTAACAATGTCAATTTGGAATCCACATGCAGGGAAGTAACTGTTAAATTCTATGGAACCCATGTAACAATTGACACCATCACAAATTGTGCCCAAACCTCATGGAATGACCCATATCCATTCTCTCTTTTCTCCCTCAAATCTTTCCAAATTAAACCAATGTCAAAGCTTCCTACCTGAGGCATTCGCTCGTTGGGCAACCTCTGCAGGCATTTAATGTAATGCTGGTCCACGTAGGCTGACATCTTGTCACCCACTCATGCAAACTGACGACATACAACTTGCACTTGGTCGCTCAGAGTGATCGTGGCAGGTTACAGGACAAGATGCCCTGTGAACCGACACATAGCCGAGTCTGCTTGGTAACAAGTCCTAACAAGCTTATAATTGAAACGTCTGTGCGCTGGCATAACACTGCATAGTTTCCGCTCGTTACAGGTGCTCTTGATTCAAGGGAACAGGGATCTTTTTAATTGTGGCAGCATTGATAAGTTAATGAGCAATTAATATTGACAGATTAGCAGGCTCCATCCAACAGCACTGTCTTGCTCAACGTGTGTCCTTTCCTGCAACTGGAGAACTGCATATTCCGTTCTCAGCTTCAGACGCCAGAGAAAATGCAATGCACATACATGTGCATGTGTACACGTGTGTTCCGGCCAAACAGACAAGATTCCTTTTTGGGAGGCTTGCTAATGATGTTGTCGTTGACAGCTCCTTCCACACTGATCACAGGTTCCAGCTCATCTGCAATGCCACATTAAAATAGAGGCAGACGGTTAATGATACAAGAAGAAGTGCACAGGTTCTGTTAATTCCACGCACGTCACATTCAATGTCACGAATGAACAGCGCAGGCTGCAACAGTGCATACAAGCAGAGAATCAGGCCGCGCATCATCGCCGCTTGCATCTTAAAACCCCATACAATGTACATCACCTAAATCCTACCCGGCAAATTGTGCATTTGATACTAGCTAGGCAATACTGTTGATATTCAGCAAAATGCTATGCAGGCGTATGGTGAAGCGGTGTCCTACATGTACATGCACATGTATGGGCAGATAACTAAGATGCTACATACCGGTACATGTACATGTATGTGTATCAACATTAAAAGCATAGCCTTCACTTGTGCTGTACAATACATGTGCAATGCACATGTACGATATGAACATTCTAAGTACATGTTCGGTATGAACATTTTAAGTACATGTACATGTACGGTATGGACATTCTAAGTACATGCACATGTACGATAGGAACATTCTAAGTACATGTACATGTTAAACATTTAGCATACTGTCACGAGTGGATTTGTGCGCAGTCTGCGCCAGAAGCCTTCTTCATGCACAGTGCCCATTGCGTAATGTTCAGAAAGCAGAGTGATTATTATTCATTGTACTTTTCTTTCAGATCAGTGATTAACTCATGCATAGAAGTCATCCTTTCTGCTACATGTACAAAACACAGATTTGACTGTGACTAACTACAAAGCAACAAGGAAGCGGACGCATTAAACACTATTACTTCCTGATCATCTACATGTAGTGTTTCTTTTCCAGGGGACTCCCCCCCCCAACAAATACTAAGCACATGTACACGAGTCTACTTTGGAGAAGATGAAAAAAAACATAGCACATTGAAAAACAGCGCTGTGTAAGCAATCAACAGACTCGGCAGTCTGGTGGAAAACACCAGCAACGGTTGATGAGTGTCACTCGGTACAAAGAGGCAAGCTTGCGGTCTCAGGAAAAAGGTCTAACAAGGAATAGATGCATGTACAGCTAGTAAAATAAAACAAGAAAACTAACAGAACACAACTTCACGATCATGTAGCCACAGCCTCGAATGCTGTGGAGATAAGAACTGTAAAACCGACAACTGTAAAAACAAAAAGAGACTCTCACAGTGTATGATTCAACTTGGAAATTTAGTAAGATTTGTTCCAAGTGCTCCATGATTGGAAAGCTTCTCAGCCTGACTTTGCTTGATTACCGGATGCCCCTTTTTTTAAACCCCAAAATGAATTTTTGGATAAAAAAATTGTTTCCGCATGATTCTAGAAACAGGTCCCAGATAAGGACCTGCACATACATGGTAGTCTCCTGAATGAGTTTAAAGCTCATCAATCTGTGGTAAGACGACTCAAGGCTTCAGTGCAAGATATTTGTACACTCAAACCATCCCACCATACTCGTGTTAAAAGCATCAATCTTTTCTCTTGATTATATATTAAACTGGTTCACCTATATGGACAACAGCATACACCAAGAAGTGTAACAGTCTTTGCCACAGACTGGTTCTGAAATGACACATATTTCATTATCACCAAAACAACACAGATTTCATAACACCAAGAACTGTCTACTTTCAACAACACCATGAGCTTATGCTAAATGCCGACCACGTGTCCATTGTACATTTAATAATGTTTTGTTCGAAAGCGATCGCACCAAACTTGAGGTAGTATCACTAACTCTTTAAAGAATATCCTAGGTTTAGCGAAAGTCCAGGAACTACACGTTCAATAAGGCATCCTGCTGTGTTGCCGTCGAACACTTCATTGCATATTGATCCAAAAGGGAAACTAACACAAGAAAATCTTTCTGTTTCAGTCAGCATCTGTCGGGAACACTCAACGCAGAGTTCTGATTTTACTTTTCAAATATCCCCTTACAACATGGAGGCCATTACCACCACACGGAAGGACAGTGTCACAACGCTGTTTGTTATTTTTTTTAACTAATATGATTTTTAAAGGTCCTCTTCCTGGTTTCACTGAAAGCATAACTGCAGTTAATGTACCGAGTTCTATGTGCTTCTGAGGGAATTTTCCTGGATGAAATGTAAACCAATTAACCCTAACCCTATATAATCCTACAAATTACTACTTGTAGTAAAATGTAGTAATCAGTGCTGCCCCTTATAAGAGGACAAGACCGTATTGTTCTCTGAAGCCATAAAATACAATAGAAAAGACAATGTACCATACAGTGCTGTGGCACTATGAATGCATGGCTTTATTGTTCTCTGTACAAGTAACAATGGAAGGAACCTAGCCAGAAGTAGTGATCTGTAGCGCTAGGTCCTTCAGGCTCAGGCTATTGCTTTGTATTTTGTAGCACAGAGTACTGTAAGCCAAACAATATGCTTGGCGGTTAGGGTTAATGTGGATCTGTGGGCAATATGAATAAGGATGGCTGGCTGAGATAGAGGGCCAGAAATGACTTTCCTCACAACATACATGCAGCCTACCCATGTACAAGTGTACAGTGTATTTACCAATCTGGCACAGAGCACTTGAAAGGCTCAAACCAAATTGAGCCAACCTACAGTGTTTGAAATTACCTGCAGTCCTGAAAATGACAGCAATGCTTGGTATGAAATGTTGCGTCCAGACACCAATGGGACAGTTCAAATACACAGACAACACTCGTTTTCCCTTAAAATGTTCAACAGCCAGCAGAAAGTGATAAAATGTGAAATTTTGCGACGAAAATTTGGAAGCATTTACTAAGTTTGTGCACAGGGAAATCAAGTGTTGCCCGTAAATGGAACTCTTTCCCACCAATGTGTTCTTCATAAATACACGTACATGTCAATATTAATGTCATTTCATCAAAGGTCAATCATGACAAAAATGTTGAACATGCTGAACAGACAACTTGGAGACTGACAAACATTTGTAATTCCTTGGAACATAGTGTCACTGCTCCAATTGACGTGGTGTTTTAGGGGACATGTACATCTCTTTCTCAGCAGTTGGCCCAAAACTAGTCCAAGTAACTTGAACTCAACAAATCGCCTTTTCCAACATTTGGACGTGGTCAGGCCCATCAACAAGTACCTGTCTATTATTGTCCAACCATGTCCAAAGGGCAAATTGAGCGTATAAGTTAGGCCTACTCGACTATGCATCATTTCTTTGCATCATTATTTTGGACGGCTTCTTAGTGGACGATTAAATTGCGGTGGAATTCTTGGGTGAAGTCAATGTACCCCCATCAGGGAAAGAGTTTATTTATAGATACCACTTGACACCGCGTGCACACACCTATCAGACTGGTCTGAAAAGTTCTAGGTGTTTTCTAAGTAAACAGCTTGGATTTTTCCCTCCAAAATTGACCTTTTCTTGACAAGTTTTTGCTTTCTGATGGCTAATTGGTCACTTGTCATGACTGTTGAAAATAATTACTGATGTCCGTATATGGAACTCTTTCCCCTATCAGCGTTGATTTGACCTTACCTAGCCTAGGGGCTGCACACAAAAGCATGTCCACAGCATTAGGAATAGGCCTAGCATTTATTTTAAACAAATTTGTCACAGAGTTAATTTGTGGACGTGCATGACATGGTGACTAAGTTCTGGAACGGACATGACTGATGACAGAACATGATGGAGTGTGGGTCTCGTATTAGGATTTTCTAATCCAAGAACAATGGGGTCAAATGTGGGCTCTCTTATTCGTGTTTAATTCGAAATTCGTTTGTGCACAATCGCCTATCGATATATCATGTAGGCCAGGGTCAAGGGTGTAGCGCATGCGGCGAGATATTTGGCAACTCCCAGCTTCGAGTCCAAGTTAGGACCCATGGAAAACTTAATCATACTCACGTCTTCGAAGTCACAGTCGAATCAGCGTCAAGAAAAATGTTCCCCCTTGCCGGAAAACGCCATCTTATTGCATTCCATAATGTGTCAATCATTTGGTTCAACCCGGTAAATACTGTCACTTGGCCGGAAATAATCAAAGCCGAAACTCGGGTTCGACGGCATTCGGTCAACCAAACGCTCATCACACATACATGTGAATGGAAGTTTGTACAGTAAGTCAGTGCTGTGGGAACCAGCGAGGAATGCTTGTAGTAAATAATGAGTGACGTCACACGCGATGACAATTTCATCTTTTCTTTGGCGAATACCAGCGAAATAAAAAATAAATAGTGAATTTTCAGAGAAGGGAAAATTCCCGGATGCGGGATGCTGGGGGGGGGGGTACTGCATTCCAAGTTGCGCAGGGTGTGTGCTGGCTAAAAAATTTAAAAAGAGGATTCATTGAATAGCGCCCCCTGTTTTAGGGGCTGTTGGAAAGGCCTTCCGAAAATTTGCAATAGTACTTACTGGTATTTAAAACTAATGCGATAATTGTACATGCACTTGCAAAAATTGAATGTAATTTTTCCCCTCGTTTGTGGAGCATTTCGTCAAAATATCTCCTAATTTTCGATTTAGAATAAACCACGAAGACTGCTATGCGAATTTATCATTGTTACAGTAATGATTTGAACATTATTTCACTATTAAAATCGACGTTAGGTTGATGATTTATCTGCCACCGCGTATAAAGATTTCTCCTTACAATCACCGGAGGGAAATGAAGTCTCCCTGAAGCTTTTCCGGACCTCCGATTTAATGCGACAAACACCGCACCAAGTTGGTCGCGAAGGACCAAATTTACTGGATCAAGGAGTTAGCAAGGGGTCAAAAGTCCTTCCATTTTACTCAGCTTTTGTCAGCAACATAGCTTTCATTCACTAACTGGGGGCTACGACCTGAAGGACTTCCTTGCTATGGCATTGGAACAAAGTTTAAATTTCGGACGTAAGCTTTAAGTCTACAAAAATCTAAAAGGGGCTCACCACGGACGTGTATAATAAAATCTGGACTCGCAATGCCCTTAATCAGCTTATAGAGTCANCACATGTGAATGGAAGTTTGTACAGTAAGTCAGTGCTGTGGGAACCAGCGAGGAATGCTTGTAGTAAATAATGAGTGACGTCACACGCGATGACAGTTTGATCTTTTCTTTGGCGAATACCAGCGAAATAAAAAATAAATAGTGAATTTTCAGAGAAGGGAAAATTCCCGGATGCAGGATGCTGGGGGGGGGTACTGCATTCCAAGTTGCGCAGGGTGTGTACTGGCTAGAAATTTTAAAAAGAGGATTCATTGAATAGCGCCCCCTGTTTTAGGGGCTGCCGGAAAGGCATTCCGAAAATTTGCAATAGTACTTACTGGTATTTAAAACTAATGCGATAATTGTACCATGGAGGAAGGAACATCCATGATTGTACATGCACTTGCAAAAATTGAATGTAATTTTTCCCCTCGTTTGTGGAGCATTTCGTCAAAATATCTCCTAATTTTCGATTTAGAATAAAGCACGAAGACTGCTATGCGAATTTATCATTGTTACAGTAATGATTTGAACATTATTTCACTACTAAAATCGACGTTAGGTTGATGATTTATCTGCCACCGCGTATAAAGATTTCTCCTTATTATACAATCACCGGAGGGAAATGAAGTCTCCTTGAAGCTTTTCCGGACCTCCGATTTAATGCGACAAACACCGCACCAAGTTGGTCGCGAAGGACCAAATTTACTGGATCAAGGAGTTAGCAAGGGGTCAAAAGTCCTTCCATTTTACTCAGCTTTTGTCAGCAACATAACTTTCATTCACTAACTGGGGGCTACGACCTGAAGGGCTTCCTTGCTATGGTATTGGAACAAAGTTTAAATTTCGGACGTAAGCTTTAAGTCTACAAAAATCTAAAAGGGGCTCACGTATTTCACTGGTAGTACTCGCCTGCCGTACGGACTTAAACATACTGAATATCATCATGTACCAATAAGTTATTGTATTTGTTGTTCGCATGATCTAAATTTATTAATGCCGATTTGCTATTGTTTGGGAAGGACTTTTCGCACGCGACGGATTTGGCCCGTGCGCGCCCCCGGCGCACTACCGGGACCGTCCCAAAACTTCTGGCTCGTGGAGTGTATGTGTACTGGTGTGTGGCAATAGCGCCCTCATTGACACCTGGTAATTTCTTTAAAAAGTTTTAAAAATTTTTGTGGTTATGTTGAGCTGGGGGCGTGATGGATTGGAAAAGTCGAGAGTTTGATTGAAGCGAAATTTGGACAGGGTTACAGTCCTCAGAACAAAACATGACTAGTGAAAAGAAAAGATAATGTGTAAACTTACGATAGTGAAAGTGGTTAAAAGAAGTTAACGCGTTGGAAAAGTACTTGTTTTTAACTATCTCCGGGCCTACTATTGTTTTCATAAATGGGACGAAAATGTAGTTTGTAACCGTGCGGAACAGAATCCTGCCAAAGCAACTTGATGCCACTCGAAGCGTCCTTACAAACTTACAGAAAAACTGATCTATTTTAGAGCATTTAGTTAGTTTTGAAAAGTTAGCTTTTTATCCTTTGATGATGCCATCTAGATGTCTATGCAATCTAAAATATGATTAAGATACATTTTATTTTCTGACAGACATCAACTTGAACTCGAGTTGTCTTTGCCCCACATGACTTTTTCCCCGAAGCTCTTAGTCATAAAGCATCACAAACTCAATCAGCATTTTAAAATGAAGGACTTTTATTTCAATTCACACTGCCTCTAGCTATCTAAATCAAAAACCGTATAATCTTTAAATGCTCACGGAGCCAAAGAACATTTGCCGTCTCGCTAAGCTGCTCTCTAACCATTAGCACCATTGAATGTTTATTGCCTAAATAGAATACACAAACTATTTTACAAGTAAATGAAATTAGTAAACCACAAATAAAATGCAGTATAAAATGTAAACAAGCAGCACTTGTTTGGGTAGTTACTTTGGTAGACTTCTAAATTAAAATAGATCAGGGCCTCTTATCAAGGGCAGATCCTGAGGGGCCAGTGGGGGCCATGGCCCCCAAAGAAAGAGGCCTTTTTAATAAAAGTCATGGGGGGTTGAATTAATATCCCTTCCTTCCAAAAGCATATGCAAAGTCCCCAAAATGTAGCCCTACCCCTGAAAGGCCCTAAAAGGCAATATGAAAGAAACTCAAACTTGTAGGCCCCTTAAAAAAGCCCCCCCATGAAAATAAGGTTCCCCAGCTGCCCTTGCTCCTAATCAGATCATCTTTATTGAAATTTTCCTATTTGGCAGTCGGGTCACACTAAACGTTCTTACACTGATAAAATATTGATATTTACATGAAAACGTAATCTAATCAAGGAAGAGGATTAAAAGACACTATTAAGGGATCTAGATTTTAAAATGTTACCAAAAACTACAAACTTAAACATAAAAAACTTCTGGCCCAAATGCTTCGTGTGATGAACTCCACGGTGAAAAATATTGAAAGTTTACATTAACAAAATGCAAATGGGGAACAATTTAATCAATGAACTTGAGTAGAAGTGTTTCCACTGAGATAATTGTCCCAAAGATGACAGGAAGAAACCTTGAGTGGTTGGACACCAAGACATTCATTGAGAAGTATGGGCCATTTTGGTTTAGGATTATTAAGATTTACATAAATTCAATTTTCAATCAAGTAATTATCATCCCCTTTGCTCAAATTTACTCCTAGTTAAAAAAAATACAAGACTGTGGTTTAATGGAAAAATTCTCAGTCTGGAATATAAAGACTCAGGCACAGGATCATCGATAGCGGCAGCACAGAGCGATGCACACCCTCTATGCTTCTTCATCCTCTTCGGCACCTGAAACAAGACAAATTAAACGAAAAAAGAAATGAACTAATGGCTTGGAAAGTGAATGGAAGACAAATTGAAACATCGGTAAATTCTGCATATCATATTTTTCTGCTTCAGAAAAATACTGAGAGTTTTAGACATTCTTGTTTTGAAACATTAACCGGTTGCATGCAGAGGCAAATTCAAAAAGAACTGAGATTTAAAAGAAGGAACTCCAGACATCTTTAATAAGGACTTGTACAGATGTTTCATTTCATCTCAGACTAGGTGGGAAACAAAGCTTTGCGAAATAAGATTAGCTGAGGGGTTTACCATCTTCAGCTGGACTCTGCTTGGGGACAACATTCAGGAAGAACTCGGCCATTCTTCGCGGTGCTTCCTCAATGTCGTGCACCTTTAGGCATTCGTTCCAGCGTTCCAGGTCAATGGTGCGCGCCCCGGCATAGCACTCCTGGAAGAAATCATCGGCGCAGTGTTCCAGGGGCATCAGGGCATAGCGGAACTCGCGCAAGTCCCGTCGGTCGAGCAGTCCATCGTGCTTGCGGTCCAGTTCATCAAATTTCCACTGGAATCGGTAAGAAATGGAACATTTTCTCATTTTGAGGGAAAACAAAGAGTTTTGTGCAATGAACAGATTCCCTGCGGCTCCCTCTAAAAAAATTGGACAGAACAACGCAAAAGATCGAGGGGTCAATACTGAAACACAGGGGTGCCCTCTAGCCTTGCACATACTGGTGTTCAGATCACGTGAATTGAAGACTTCATTTTGTTGAGTGTATCTCAATGTAATTAACCAGCGAATTTCCACCACTTCAAAAGAGCATCAGTTCATCTTAGCCCAAATTTCTTCAGGGCTGTAAGTAACACCCCCAGAGGAATTAAAGAGACATTTTAGGACTTTTATCCAAAGCTTCACACATACTACACAATCTCGGTGACCTTCTGCCATATTTTTCTCCCTTGACCCAATGTCTGCTTCTTCCGATTGATAAAAACTCTAACTGCTTGTCCGTTTGTACCTTGGCCACTTTCTCTCTGCCTGTGTTGTCCAGCTTGCGGATATTGCTGTTAGGGTCTAGCTGCTGGAGCTCGTCAATCTCTCGCAGGTGGAGGAACCATTCCAAAAGCCGGTGGGGGAACTCCTTCAACTCCTCCTTTCCACATGGCTCCTGTGAGGCTGGAACCACCCCCACCCCCAAAAAAAGTAGAACTAGGAACACAGAGACTATATTTGAGATTGGCCAAGGGGTGGTAGTCTCAATAAGCCATTTGTGAGTTAAATTAGAATAAAATCTGGTACACTGAGTTATCTGATTGCACATTAACATAACAATTTGAATTCACCTGACTAAAGACACTGTTGCTATACCTCGTGATTAGGGGCAAGTTTTTGCTGAGCGACCACCATCTCTGGAATGGACTGGTTCCTTTGTGCCCTTCTTTTCCATTGAGAACAGTGTATTGTTGCAAGGCATCTCTTATGTAACTAAGCAAAAGCCTGCCCCGAATCACGAGGTACAGCAAAAGTGGCTTTAGTGTGGAGAATTCCAATTGTTATGTTCACATTAATTTAAAGAACTCAGTGCACCAAATTTTATTCAAATTTAACTCGCAAAAGGCTCAATCTCCCCAAAGGACTGCATCTGGTGGGGGGGCTTGATCAGGATAGGGAGGGAAAAGACCACACCAACCCTCACAGATGGAGAAATGCCAACCATGACGGAGCCAACGGATCATCCTCCCTCACAAGATGTTGTACAGGCCACGATAAAACAATCTAATAAGTAAGGAAAGCTAGACTGATTGGAACGGGATTGAAACAGCTTCTTGATGCAATTACCAGAGTGGCCAAGTGCTTACGTACCGATGCAGGGTTTCTTGTAGGCCAGGGGATAGGAGCGTCGTCTCTTGCACGCATACAGTCGCAGCTGGCACAGACTGTCATACTGCTTGCCGTAGACGCTGCAGACCGGCCTGACTGGGCCGTCGGGGCAGGACTCTGGGCAGTCGCAGATGGGCTTCAACTTGCCGTCAACCTCCTCGCTGATGCATATGGCATACCTGGGCTTCTCACATGTGTGGTGGAGGCAGGGATCAACTGTTTACGAGAACAGACAGATCATGCATGTAACTCAGGAGCAATTTAAGGGGAGTTTGGGTGGGCTAGATTTAGGTTTGGGTTGGGGGTTTTCGGTTAGGTTTTGGGTTGAGTTAAATCAGCTGGCAATGGGGTACACTGAGAGTGTTTATGGTTGAGGCATTTAGTTCCAAAATTAAATCTGCCCTTCACTTTCAAACAAAATGGCTGTAGCTTCCACTCTTCATTTTACAAACTGGAGACTATATTCCACTACAGAATGCTGCCTTTTAATATGAACAACATCAATGAAATTGCAACAGATGAAGAAGTACAGTTGAAAAACAGACAAGAAAAACAGAGGGACTAAGCAATAAACAACAGAGGGTACTAACCATCGCAGACACCTTCTCTGCCGTCCCAAGTTCCATCCTCCAAGCAGTTGCGACTGGTTGAGCCTAGCAGGGCAAAGCCTTCGTCGCATTCCAACTCGCAGATGCTGCCCACAGGCTGCTGACCCGTGGTGGTCACATTTTGCCCATTCAGGGTGCAGGTGTACACTAAACCATTCACAGGTGCCGGCAGAGGTGGACAAGTAACTGTAAGAAACCGAACAAAAGCAAGCACAAAAACTTGAGAAATATTAAACACAAACAACTGATGAATACTCCTGTCAGAGATGTAAACCAGCTTTGACGAGTTTAATACCACAAGTTGTAATTTGGTTACAAGCATAGCATGTTAATTCACAAACTACATTCAAATTGCAAGGAAACCAATTCGATAATTTCTGAACGAACACCTGATCTCAAAAAATAAACTAAGACCTCTGGTCATTTCATGTTTTAATGTACTTGGGCCTATGATCAAATGTTTGACAGACCACCATGACAATAAAACGCAGGCAAATTATAAGTTTCACAATCAGTTTTAAAAAGTCCAAGTTTTGTGCCTGATTTGAGGCACAAACCTATACTTTATTTGTCAGGTAATGAAGGATCACCTAGCAAGCAAGATAAATCATGGTTGGAGCTTTCTTGCAACAGCTGTGGCCCATTTGTGCACTAACTCATCAAGCTTCTAAGCCAGAAGAGGAAATTCACAAGTGGGGTGTCTTGTTGATTAATTATTACATCAGGACTACCTTTACTAATCACAGGGGGGTGTCCAACTATTGCCATGGGTGGATGTGTAGATTGACTGGAACTGACTGGGTCCAGTGGGACCGTACCAAAATACTAGCCAGGCACCATAAAGAACAAGAGTAACTTCAGTTGGATGGTTTCCCTGGCAAAGCAATCCCTTCCTTGCTTGCATGACAGGTCCCTTGAATGAAGACTAGACACAACGTGTACATGTCTGGCCAAAGTCTGAATCATAAAGCAAAGACAAAGACATCCCAGGCACTGGTCCAGACATCCTGTTGCCAAACAGGACTAAGATAATGCTGCCAATGCCATGCTACCAATTTATTTTCCAATATTAAGCTAGGGCTAGATTAAAAAAGTTTAACTTTGTGACCCACTCGGCAAAAAAGGTATGTAATATTGCAGAAATGAGAAAATGTGTTTCACGCATGGCCGTAAAGCAAACTGAAGTAGACGTGAGGCTCCGTTATTCCTCCAACGTTTGATGGACATGAATTCGCTGCAGTCTATCAATTGATCTCTGCCCTCTGCCAAAAAAAGGCAGGGAAATAAAAAGCCGGTGGTTATCAATTATATCTATCTATAAAAAAAAGTTACTTCTAAGGTCTAAATTCACATCTAATCTGTAGCTTTCCTTTCAACCTTCTCTCAGAGCATACGCCCCCAGCCTGTCTGAGATCGGCCCTCCTAGAGAACCAATAATGGCAAGGACCAATTAATAGTAATTAATTCAGGATAGGAGGTGTTGCCAATTATGCCAGAGTGTGTAAAGTACTTTACACCTGTTCCATTTAACCATGCATGGTTGATCCAGGGAGCAAGGAACACCACACCACTGTGAATGGTCAAATCCCTCCCGAGTTTGCAGTAGATGAGGACACTTTCACTAAGAGACTATGACATCTACGCTGAAATTAACTCCCCAGGGACACTGGATCAACCCATGGCCACTGAAGCTGAGGAGCCATGTACATGTATTCAGTAGGTCTGATTATATCTCAAATGAGCATCCCACTGAGGCCTGTCACTTTGGCATACCTCTGGGGAAGTCTGTCTGAGTCTGGGATACCACACTACATTACAAGCAACATTTAGTAGACTTAACTTGTTCCACACTTATTTATAGAGAGTGGACAGAAAGATGCATCAAAGTCTCCATTCTAGGCATACGGCATGTAGATAAATGTATTTAATGGAAATTTAACTTAAATTTTTTGATTTTGATTCCCAAGAACATAAGTCTGAATAGTTTTATCAATTTGTAAAAAGTGGATGGATTTGAGTATCGAGGACAAAAGGAGCATGTAGAATTCGACTATTACGGGCTTACAGCAACTCTATGGAGAATGCATATTAATCCCCCTCATAACAAAATATAATTAGTCGTTTATCAATTAAATTGGCACTAAGTACCATAAGAACAAAATCAAGCATTTTGAAATCAAGTAAAATAAAGACTGCATCAAGTCTAACTACATAGCTTGAAGCAAAGTCCCATAATACACCACAGATATCGGTGATAATCTAATACAATGTATTACTTTATGTCAACCTAAGAGTCCCCTGCATATCCTGGTATTCGATCCTTGCATACCTGGGGTTTAAAACACTGCAGGGCCAGCGATACTTTTTCAACTGTGACTGGTCGGGGGGATAAACCTTTGACCTTTGTCAGGAATAAGCTTGATGTTTTGTAAACACAACTTGCATGGGGGGGGGTCAATGTTGAGATTTACTTACTGTGCTCATGGAAAGAGCTATGGAAAAGAGTTATGGAAAGCAACGAGGACACCAGCAGTAACCTAAGCTTAGAAAATAAAGAGAAATTGGGCCCAAAGGGTGGCGGAATGGGAGGGAGAGCACTAGGGGGCCCTCAACTTTTCCAACTGAGGATATGCCCTCCCCCCAAGCTTGCCAGGTCCTATAATGGGGCGGGGCTTAATGGTTTAAGGTTCATTGATGGTTTATATACTCTGATGGTCTCACAACAGCCCCCTCCTCCAATTTTAGAAATCATTCTGTTGCCGTCGTAAAAGGCTACTTATGTATTCGAGTAAAACTAAATTATCCAAACTCTTCCCTTGATAATCCTTTGGATTATCAGGATCAAGTTGACATTACTTCAAAGATCAAATACCATTGACAGAGAAGAAAGATTTTTTTCAGGATTCTGAAATGTTCCTTTAAAGAATGCCCAGATAGTTGGTTAGAACATGGAACTTTTAAAACACATCAAAACTGGTTTGGTCTACTTTCGTTTACTGTGATATTTGTACATGACATCTGGTCTAACCATGTCCTTTCTCTATGGTCCAACTGGAAATGAAGTGAAGCGGAGTTAACAACCTGTCAAGACTAGAAGCCTAGCTAAGGTTTTTGTAGCAACATTTGAGAATGTCAGCAACATGTTTGCTGGTCTGAGATTACCTTTGCCCTATGAGACCCTGAGACTGAAAGTTTTTCAGCTGGGGGTCTGGGAAAGCAACGAAAAGCAGGATAAACACAATAACAAACCAGCAAGATTAAAAATGTCCAACATTAGGCGGCCTGCATCAATGGCTCTGTGCTTGAGGGGCCACACTGAAGTCTCGGCGCACACGGAGAGTTGTAGCTAGTCTCGGTTTCAACCTGTCATCCAGGGTTTCAGTAATCCATCCACTGAAGTGTTTTGGTAGAGACCAGGTCTACCAAGGGACTCAATTGAAGCCAGATCTGGGGGTATCCCACAAGCAACATCTGCTTGGGTGTTATTTTTGTGGGCTACCATTGGAGGTGGGGGCAGGCACGGAAACCGAAACTACAAAGGGAATGGCTGTTTGCTTTCTCCTGGGGAGTTTTATGAGGGGCAGGCAGTAAAGTAGTCAATGGAAAAGACCTTCTTATTTGGCATTTGAGACAGAAATAGATCAGAAGTGAAATTCTTGAAAGATGTGGTCAGGATTTAAAAATCGACTAGCCAATTGATGTAAACATGCCTGTGAGGTATTATTTTATTTCAAACAGTTCTAAACTGGCACGAGAACAGGGCCTCAATAATCTATTATGTACAGATATGACGCCTCTGTGTCTACAGTCATTTGCAAAAGGTTAGGACCACCCATACAAAACGCATCAACCTGAAGAAAAACCAGACTTAAACCAATCAGTCATGGCAACTTATGTTCATTTTCAGTGTGAAACCTTTGTATCGTAGTTAAACAGCTATTTGACTACATTTGAAATGTTAACAGTCACAAATTGTGTTCCCTGGGAACCTCCCTCCTTTATTTCTGATTAGACTGGTTTTTACCCATGCTGTCTTACAGACAATATGCCATAAAAGACCTACCTTTGCAAAAAATCTTATTTAAATGGGTACATACAGCTAGCACTACAATGATGTTTTGCTTCACTGTAAAAACATGTTAAGTAATCTTTCAATGAGACAATGTAATGCAGGCCCCCTGACAGAAATACCAATAAAATTCCAGGTGGTCTTGAAACTTTTGCAAAGATTCAACTAAACAAAGTGAGAAATGAAAACAGGTTAAAATTTTCACTATACATTGGGTAAAAAATAGAAGCAAATTGATTCTGATGAACTCAATTTTTCAGGGAGTGCAACTGAGGTCAGAGAGGCCATATCAATCTCTTCCTAATGGGCAGTCAATGCAATGGAATCATTTACAGCATATGAAGGCCAGGGGGCAGTGGTGGAGACTGATGTCTGCTTGACCTCAACAATAACTTTGAACTTAGATTGAGATGTGGGAGGTTCCTGGGGTTCTGAACTTCTGATACAGGTCAAGTTGCTTGAGGTACTAGGTAGTTGTACCTACCTCCCTAAATGAAATATTACTCGAGTGAAGTTTACCACAGAGTGTAAATAAAACCACAACCAGCGGAACAGACTACACATGCAAGTGACTAACATATGGCAATTCTCAAATTTACAACAAAATTTCAAAAACATGATGGTAATTTTAGTTGTAGAAGACTCTGTGAGAAATGAGGCTCCCCCCCAAAAAATGGATAAACAAACATCAGCTCAACATGAAATTTAGGCTTGATTTTTGTTGGCTTATTTCTATCCATGAGATGAAAATATGAGACTGACCATTTGGACAGTTATTTGGTCAAACCTCAAACTCTCTTTTCAAACAGACTGACAGTCAGGGCAAGACTGATTTTTATTTGAAGTTCATCCTACTGGTAGCTTGCACAGCCCGGCCTCCCCTTTTCCCACAAAACACACCTCCCCAGTCACCCAAGGCTAGCTAAAATAAATTTCACTTCACCCATTGAAATCAACAGTCAAAGGAAACACGGCCGAGTTCCCCTCAATGCATGTCGCTCATGGTGGCACTAGAGAAAGGACAAGAGAACTGTTTTGGCCGAGACCTTTGTACTTTTTCACATGGTTAAACAGTAAACTTTTCCGATTGTAAGACACTGTACCAGCCTTTTGACGTCCATGTCTCATATTGCTGTTGAAGATAAAAGCAGAAGTAAAGGACAACCTTGGGGACTGCCCGCCCACTAGTCTATGTGTCAAGATCTGGTGTTTATGTTTGACAGTGCGGTGATACTGGCATGCATTGTATGTGATAAAGGCAATTGTTGCGTCAATCAGTTGCAATGTCCCTCACCCGACCTATGCATATTTGGCAAGGAAAAATATTGAAAATTTTATACAAATAGTTAAAGACCAAAATTACAGTTTTCCCCCTAAAGGCTGGAGAACATCAGGGGAAGAAAGATATACAGATTTTACCGACAACCAGAAAGTCTCACACAAAATTCCCTGAAGTGACATTAAGAACAATTTAGCCCTAAAAACCTCAGAGTATGTTATTCTTTCATTTGATCCCCTTTGCACAAGTTTCTTGGGAGTGTAGGAAAAATGAAGGAGACTGAATTGAACCGAGTGGAATTTTCTTTGTGTAGTATTTTGGACCAAACTTCTTTTACTTCTGTACAAATGACTTCCTTCCTACAGGCAGGCACTTCCATCATCGTACCCTGTTTAGTCACACAGTTGACAGCTGTCGGACCAGCCACTTTACAAAAAAGCGTTACTCCCCATCAGTACATCCACACACACACACGACTTATGTCAGAGAAGTCCATTCCAAGCGTATGTTTTGATTGTGAAGATATGCTTCCTCTGAAAACCCGACAGACAGGATGTTGTTTTTAGTCAAGAGAAGTTTTTCCTTGACGTCCTTGCACTGTTTATGAGCCCAAAAATATCCAAGATCTGACAAAAGCACAAACATAAAAATTGAAAAAAAAAATCGAACTGACAACATGCACTTCCATCATCCCCTTCATTGATAAGGTTGCAAAACACAAAACCAGTAGTTATATGCACTCCTCAGACCTACAACAAATCAAAGTTGTTTGTTTCAGTCAAAACATGGCAGTGTTGTATTCAAGTCCATCACAAGTCCCTGCAAGTTCCTATAAGTCCATTACAAGTCCATCAGAAGTCATCCAGTCTGAAGCAAAGTCACAAACTATCCAAATGAGCTATGACAAAAGCATTCCTTTGTCATTGTTCACCCTGTTATTTATGACTGGCCTTGTGAAGCGACTAGTGACTGGACTTGTGAAAGGACTTGTGATGGACTCGAATACAATACTGTAACATGGTGTAAAAAGGACTATCGGGGAGGAACAGGGCAGAAATAATGCAGACAATATCTTCATCACATGCGTAAAAAGGATTGGCAGTTCTTGCCCGTTTGACTTAATGTAAGAGTTGATTACTCCAATTCCACTGCAAATTAGAGCTGAGGTTTACATTCCAAGGCTCTTCATCAGAACCTACTGAAAAACAATTAATGTTTGGTAAACAGAACACAGTTGGGTCACAAATTGTTTTCCCTTTTTTTGGAAACCGTGCCCTCCTCACACTGCTGTGCAGATTCACAACGTTAGTGCACAGTTTTCATCCACACAAATCTAGCCTCAGCACTGCCTGCACTGCGGCATGTCCCTGTCTAAGGGCAGCCCAAGTTCAGACATCTTGCTGCTAGAGCAAGGAGAAAGTTAGACACCCATGACTCAAGGCAGTCGGGCAGGCAGTTCATCCACACTGTCTGGACTTTGTCTGTCATGAAGGGTGACCATCTTTCCACCCCAGGGAAAGGGAACTAATGAGAATTCTGCCCAGGTACCAGGTAGGGGGAACCAGACTCTGCAAGTGGCTAGACACCTGGGTGTTCCCACTTTACAGTTTGACACATCGGTTCCTCTTTTCAAAGAGCTGTTTTAGTCAGCTAATGCTTAAAAAAATCAACCAAAAACCATTCTGGCGTGTATTTCCCATTGTTTCTGCCTCTTTCTGATTGCTTTTCCATTCCAAATTCCTACTCTCAATCACCATGGATCCCTTGAGTAAAAACAAGAAAAAAAATCTTTATAGAGAAAATTTAGTGCAACAAGAATTAATGTGATCAAGATTTGAATGGAGTTCTTGTTCATATCAGTTCTGTTTACCTTAACAAATAATGTTTCAAAATACTGTGGATGTAAAGCATTTTTTTGACACAAATAATTGATTAGGAGAGTAGTTTTGGAAAAGTACAGGCACCCCTGATTTTACAAAAGAAAATAGATGATCTCAGGAAAGACACTGCTTTTGATTAGATAAGTCATTTATAAACCCAAAAGTGGAAATTTGGATCTTTTGTTCTCGATTTTATTGCAATAGGTTGCTTGAAAGCTCAAACTGCATAAAGCTTCCAAACTTGATACAACCTCCTCAATAAAAACCTTTCCAAGTGAATTGGTAAATATTCAGACTGAGGAAAGGGTTCCCATCATCACTGTCTAGATTAAATTCCACGGAGCAAACGTTTACCCGAACCAGTAAAGAAATTGGTGACAATTGCTACACCTCTGTGAAAACTGGAAAAGACTTCTCTCTTTCAATGGCACTGAAGTGACACAGGATATAGCCCTTCAGGGGTGCCACTCTGGCCTCACAGCTGGTCACTACCATAAAACATCAAGTATTAAATCACAGCTTTCTAGCCAGTGGGTGTGGGTAAGGTCAAGCTCGGGACAAGCCTAGCTGGGACCAAACCCAAGGTCAAAGAGCAGATTTTATGTCCTTTTTAGCATACACAAAAAGACCTTACACTTTTCCAAGTTCCCTCTGGTATACCTTTTGTCGTTTCATATCATTATATAAGTCAAACTTTTCTAAAGAGTTATTGTAACAGTGTACGTTGGTAAGCCAACGTATGCAAATGGACAACACGGTAAATATCAAGTCCTTGTCTTTAGAATTCAGGGACCAGTCAGCCTTATCCATTTCCAGACAAAAAACAGAGACAACGACTTCCCATCAGGAAATGTTGAGAAGCTTAGTGACACACACTGTCCCATCCACTGGCCCTCTGTTTTTGTTTTGTCTCCTATCTGATAACTATCCAGGAAAGTAGGTGGGAGATTAGATATACATACTAGCCTGGAAATGTGGAGAATTTTATGCATGCAGGAATTAAACTAGGCAACTGAAAGGGTATCTGCTAAGTCTGTAGTCGGACACACGGAACACATTTTGTGCTCTTGGACAGGAATGCTCGCAGCATAGTCTTGACAATTCTGAAGTCTTTAATTCAATCCATATGCATATGTTGGATCAATGGCGGACATTCTGCAATGCCCCTCTAGGCCCTAATTAATAAGACTAAGATGTAGACCATTTATTAGGAATGCAAGATAATGATTTGATGTACTTTACTGTTTTTACAAAGGCTCAAAAGCTACTTAACGCCAAGTACAGAGAAAGGAAAGCGACGCCATGACAAAGCCTGAATATCTGTCCAATCTAAACAGAAAATTTTGGCAACCACAATTCTTGCTGAACGCCAAAATATATAAGCATATTTTGCATATACATACATGTATTTTTACACTGCTGGTGATGGCACAAAAAAGCAGCTTGAGAAAGCACCCTGTAACATCAATTTTCTATGTGTCCATCTATATTTTACGAAATTTGACAAAATATCTGAATAATATTCAGTATGTGGCATCCCTAGCATGGGTCAAAACCGCAAACCTGTGCCCAAAACTATGGACACTATTGCCTCCGAGTGTTCCTGGCAGTAATCAAGATGGATTCTACTCCCTGCTGTCACTAAGCCACAAAATGACCTCACTGCTCTTGTATGTCTGAAATTCAATTACCTGAAGCTTTTTTCTCAATGGATATGGGACTGGTTTTGATGATTAATGTAAGAAGTACGGTTATGACATCAGAAGTTAGGTAATCCCTTTCATCTGGTACTTTTTGTTCCAAGTGCTGTTGATTTTCACAAAGCGTCACCTTTGGGGATACAGGCCTCAAATTAGGACATCCTGATGAAACCTTTGGGATGTTTAAATATAAATTGACAAGCTTAAGCTGTTAATTCTCACAGTTGGGTATGTACTGTTTAGTGAATGAATCACTCTCCGTTCTCCACCAGGCTTTCCATCGAAATACGTTACATTCATATACAAACACTGGAGGGAATCGAGATAATACAAGTTCAAATGGTGAGATGAAAGCTGACGACTTACACGGCATAATTTGACCAGATTCCTTCAGACTATTAAATTATGCTTTCTCTACTCAGGCCTACAGTGTATGCATTTTACGAGCTGTGTATTGGATGCTTACAACACTAGCTGTGCATGTTACATAATACGGCTTACCTCTATTATCTGCATTATCTTGGGCGTGGACAGCTACCTATTGTGTGTTCAAACAAAAAAGAAATGTGAATCAAGGAGATGAGCCAACACCAACTGGATTAAAACAAACATGGAAATCATTTATCTGGCTCTACTGCCTTTATCCCCCATAACGCAAAGCCCCAGAGACTTGATTACAGTACGCAGCCAGTTTAAGGGCAACAAGTTTATTGAATTATGAATGTGATGGCATTGCACAAAAACACCGTTTACAAGTCCAAGCATTGAGCAAATAAAAACAAGCTTGAATGAATTATAGTTACCTTGAAAATACATAAAGATGCAATCAAAGCGATAAACCAAGCAGATCCCATGATTCACACCGTGGCTGAAGTTATTCTGCGGATGTGACAGAAACAATTCTCAAGCTCAAATCCTCAACGGAAATACTGTAACTCAACTCTTACTAGAAAGAATGTTGCATCCCGACACCACCAGACCACTCAGTTACAAAAATGTTAAAAGATGTGAAACTCAAAACTGCGACTGCAAAATATTCAAAAATACTTTGAAAATGCTCTTGAAATCTCACATATCTCGTACATAACAAAGGAGGTGGCGGTAGCAAGGTTAGGAGACATTCTTTCCGTCCAAAATTCGTTGCTAAGTCTCCGGTCTGGAGTGGATAGCTAACCTGAAAATTTGCTGCAACATACAAACCTCGATCAATTATTTCCTTACTTTTAGCGTGCAAGCAACATTATTAGGCAACGAAAATGAGCAAAGGCCCTCAGCACCTACCTGCCCAAGTTCACGTCGGTCAGAATACCTTCAATATCCTGGAAATATATGGCTGGAAAACACAGAAATCAACGAAGTCTCTAACTCCACTGCCTTTCGATAAATGAAGTTCAGTTGGGTCAGTACACTCTACCTCCGGGGGTGTCCAAGTAAAGTGAGCCTGGCGCGCCGGCGCGACATTTCACGCATACTATTTATAGCTCGCCAGCCGGTATTTAAGTGCAGTTTCTTTGTCTTTTCGATGGCAATTTATGATTTTTCATAAATAAGACTAACTGAATTGAACTGATTAATTGAAAGGCAACATGGATACTTATTATTGATGGTGCTGAAAATAATTTCAAGAAAAATACTGGAAACAGACTTTTCTTGAACACAGTAACAGCTAGAAATTTGTTGAGCGGTCTCATTAACAGTAAAGATCTCTAGGCGAGGAATTTGATTAAGGAAGAATTTCACGTGTTAGTAACAGGGCGTGGTACAGTTCGAAGCTGCAGTCAAGGCGGGATCCCGAATCAAATTTTCAGAGGGCCAAACTTGTGGAGTTCCTGGAGTGTAGCTACTTTGGGGGAGGGGGTAGCATGCTTTGAGAAAGAGAAATGAAAAAGAATTTTAACACCGCCTCAAGTTTTTCACTAAAAAAAATCGCCGGGGGGCTGGGGGGGGGGGATATGAACCCCAATGCTCCTCCCATCCACCCTTTGCTGCAAGGCGAAAGACAACCATGCAGAGAGCCCTCTCTTGAATTGAAAATATAAATAAACGGACAAATATTTAATTCTTTTCACGAGAAGCAGACCAACTATATCCGTCATCTCTACCTACTGCCGTGTTTTCAGATTTTTCGAGCAAAACCACAAAATCAATTTGAACAAACCCCCTGTTTTACTACAGTCCAAGACTTGTATCTTTAGAAATAATTATTTTCAAAAATAAGCTTCATTTTTGCGGATATTAAGAAATATGTACTTATTTAAAATGAAATCAAAAAAAATGTCAAGCCTGAGACATTAATGTCCGGCCATTAATTGGTCACAAACATTTCTTTCATGACATTAAAAGCTAGGTACATCAAGTATATAAAATGTAGTGAAAATCTTCAGTATAAAGTATAAAATGTGCTTGCCAAGGATATCAAAAACAGTACAAGCGGCCAAATTTTGACCCTAATGCATTGCATTGTATTGCCCCTAAAGACTCAACTTTAGCAAATCATGAGAGTTGATTAGCACAAAGCCATCAATGAATGACTGGCCAGCGGAGTCACAGGGCAAGTTAATTAGCCAACAGATCTCATGTCTGCTGCAGTTCAAACAAGTTGGTGTTAGCTCTATCACTTTGTGGTATCTTTGCAAGGTTTCCATGGAAACAGGCAAGGCTTCACAGGCTTTACTTTCGCTCACTGAACATTCCGCACATCTGAATAGAAACCTTATGGAGAGAATTAATATATATAACACTGATAACATTAATAAAGTCTGCGTAACAGCATTCAACTCACTCTTTTATATTAATAACTCGCAGTAACTCAGGTGCGTTTTATGGGCTGAGGGTCACTTAGGGACCCTTATTTTCTGGGGAAGGACACTCAATGGGTTTGGTCAAAGTTAAAACACTTAGCAGCCTCCCCCATGCATTATGCAGCAAGTATTCCAGCAAAATGTCACAGCTACTTTCCCTGGATGCAATTAATTGACTCTCAAAACATAAGAAGGCTGGACTAGAGGATCTTGTAAAGTTCAAGTTTTCCTGTCAGAGGGAGTGGGTGTGTCTTCTGGAAGAGCCTCACCGACTGGGCCAGCAACTGGTTCATGCTCATCGACACATTAATGACAAATTGTGGTGAAATTTGGCATACGATGTAAGTGCTACTGAAGGGAGTGGGCAAATACAGACTTGTTACCAGTTGTTTCATCCTGGCAAACTTTACTTTCTGAGGAATCTGAGGTTGATTGTTTCATCGGCAACTTTTATTGCTGTGCTTTCTGATGATTTCAGATACTCAGAGTATATTTGTGGAGTCTCAAATCTGTTTCCATCATTACATTGTGTAGATTTGACTAGATGGCTACAAATAATCTCCATTTTTTGGAAGCCCTTTAGCTTTGTCATCCTATCACCTAATCTGTTTGTGTTCCACTGCTGTGATTGGTAGGTGGCCCCCGGCCC